TGGAATTTGGACCACGTCATATCCAAGCCCAGTTTGTAGTCAAATTCCAGTTCTATGAGGTAACACTGCCCGCTTTGCAGCTAAAGTCACCTTGTGCTGGGTTGTTATTTGTATACAAACATAGGTGCTAACTGGCCCAGAAATTTGTCCTCAGGAAGGAACCCTAAAACGTGCATCAGGCTAGAGTTCAGGGTTCGCAGCTCCCACTCCATCCCAGGCTGGACAGCAGGGCACCTCGCTGTGCAGCTGCATAGGCTCAGCTGCTGCTGCTGCATCTAGGGCCCAGGTGCCCTTGGTCCAGTGATCATCCAGATGCGGCTGCAAAAGGCTCCGTGGGTATTTAATGTGGTGAACTTGTGCCTTTCCCTGAGGTGGCATCTAGAAGTGCATGTGCCCCCTCATAGGATATGCTCCTTGGGTGACTGAGAGCTGTGGAACTGCCCCAATGCCCCCTTCAGTCTGGCCCTGACAGTGCTCAGCACTGCCCATCCCCACTCCCCCCCCAAGCCCAGTTTCTCCCACTTTCCTCCATATTTTCCAAATTTTTGAGCCTCTGCAAACCCTACCATGCAATGAGTGGGTTCCTCTGCAACCCCAGAGCCCCTTTTATGGATTTCCCTGTAGCACTCCTCAACCGTATTGTAGTTATTTGTTTACGTGTGTTAAAGAAAATGTTATTCTGACACCTGTGAAAGGCACTAAGTGAACCCACTTTACCCAGAGGGACAGCTGCACTGGGGTTTGCAGCAGGGACAGAGATGGGGCTCAGCACTGAATGACAGAGGAGAGTGGGGATTTACAGCCAAGGAGCAGGTTGCGCCCTCGGGGGATGGAAAACCATCCGGAGGGAGGAGTAGTTCTTGCTGAATGGACCTCACAGGATTCTTACTGGAGGCCGGCCAGCGTGATCAGATATTACCTGGAAGGGTGAGTGGGGAGGAATTTGGTCAGACATAGAGGCTGATTAGACACAAGTTTAGCCAGGGGATTCTGGTTAAACTGACTTAGCAGGATTCTTGCTGAATTGTGGACTCTACAAGGACAGAGAAAGAAACCCAAGGTCAGGTCTGGTTGAGCAGAGGGCTCTGAGGAGCCTGACTAAGGTCTGGTTGAGAAGAGGGTCTTTGGTGCATGTTTTCCTCTGTCCTGTGCCGTTCACCTGATAACCGTGGTGCAGGGAGAAAGAGAGAGAGAGAGAGAGAGAGAGAGAGAGAAAGGGATGAGTTGATAAAACAATATAAATTTAAGGAGGACATCAAGGAGATATGAGCGATTTTATAAATTATCAGAGACAACTACAAAACCTACGCCGATATTTATTAAATCTTAGATTAAATGGCCAGTTAGCTAGATAACTGTCAGTCACTAAAACTGACTCAGAAGAAGTGTCTGCTGTAAGTGCAGCCCTGACCAGTAAGGACATCAGCGTGAGAGCCAGTGTGGCCCCTCTGCTAATTCAGCTGCACAAGGGTGAGGGGGAAATGTTCCGACAAACCCTCCAGGGAAAGAGCATCCTCAGTGATTTCAGAGAACTCAGAGGTTTAAAAACAGAACATTTTCCAATTTGTTTTATGAGGACTGTATAGTTGATACTCAAACCAGATAAGAAAATTACGGGCCAGTGCTTACAAAACCAAATTAAGTATTAGTGAACCAAATTAAGAATTAATAACAAACAAAAAGTTATCATGATCAAGAAGGTTTATATCAGAAATGCAACTGTGTTTTAACATCAGCATGTTATTATTCTCCGTGTCAACAGACTAAAGTAGAAAAATACTGATCTCAGAAGATTTTGTAAAATAATTTTATCAAATTCAAATTATTTTACAAGATTCATGAGCAAAAGCTGTATGAATCTCCTCATACTCGGAAGGAGAAACACACATGTCCTCACAGAGCTGGCTGAGACTGGGCGAGTTCAGAGGAGTGACGCGACAGACCAGAGGTGGTGCCCACGGAGCTCAGACAAACCTGCCCGACCCCACTTCTCTCACTTCCCAGCTCTGACTTGCCCCTCCCGCTGGGGCTGGTTTCCTCGGTTGCAGCTTCCAAATCATCTGGTCGGTCTTTCAGCAATTACTTTCCAGTTACTCAGCAATTACACGAATTATTCTGTGTGCATTTTTAATTTCTGGGAACTGTTTCTTGTTCTGCCCACAGGGGTGCCTACCGAACCAATGGTCAGGACTCTGAACTGTTAAACGAAGCTCCCCCCCCCCCCCCCCACCCCGTCATGGGTTCGTCAGTTTACCATCCCCTTGTTCTACACCTCGCCTACCCTCGAAGTCCTCACGACACGTGTGTCTTGGTTTTCTCCTTCATTGCCCCCCTTTTTGTTTTATTATGGATGGTTCACAAATGTGTTATGCTATTTACTGATCGTCAAGGACCTATGGTGAAGCTGCTCTGTCTATATTGGAGCTTCTCTTTTTCTTAAAAAGGAAGACACAAAAAATTAAGCACTACTTTTATTTTCACATTGCATACATTCCAAAGAGTTATTTATAACATCTGCACGGGGCATGGAGGGCAACGACTTTATTAAAAACACGCTGTGGGTCTTCTCCAGCATCAGGACGAGGAGCGCCAGCACCCCACGGCCCAGTGCGCCAACTCGCCAGCCCCAGCCCACTGCGTGCAGCAGTACGCACCGCGGCCTCCTGCCCTTCTTGTTTGACTTTCCACCGCGGGCTGCACCCTGAAAAACCATGTATTTTATTTTCAGTCTTTTGGAACTTCGTACAAGTGAGATTACACTGAATTTTCTGCTACTTGCTTTGTTCAGTAAAAATTATGTTCTCAAAGTCCACGCTGCTGGTGGTTTGTGGCTGATGGGCCTTTGTCCGTTTGTGGCTGTACAGGCTCCCATGGTGGTAACTGACCACATTCTATTTTCCTCAAAATCAGCTATTTGTGTTCATTTCCGGTGTCTTGGTCTTTGTGCCACACGAGCTCTGCCGCCACGAGCACCTCGCTGCACACGGGTCTGCTGTCCCAAGCAGACACACACCTCTGGGCGTGCCCTCCTCCGTGTCCTGCTGGGTGGTCCTCTCCCGGCTGCTTCGGAGGCTCCTTCACAACCTCTGGGTATGAGTCTTCCTCAGGGTCCGTGCTGTACATCTCTTTTCCCAGTGTGTGGTTTGTATTTTTTAATGCTTTATAGTGCCCTTTCATAAATAGGTGTCCATTTTACTATGGTAGAATGTACCCCCTTATGCTTAAATTAGTGCTTTTTTTCTGCCGAATTTAGGATACTTTCCCAAGGCTGTGCGTGTGTGACCCATATTTCCAGAACCATTAATGAAAGTGCTTTGCTTTCCCAAATTACCTGTGATTCCACCTCGGTTATAAGGTTTGTGTGTGGGGGGAAGGGGGTGAGTTCTCGGTTTTGCACAGGCCCGAGGGTCCCCGGAGCACCGTGTCTCAGAGAGCACAGCGACAGTGCTCCTTGACATTTAGCAGGGCGGGTGCTGCCTTGTGGCTCTTCCTTGGGGCCCTTTGTTCTACTGTTTAAGCTCAGAACTGGCTTCTCAAGTTAAAAGGGAACAACTGGAATTTGATCTGGAAACTCATAATTCTGTAGATAATTTGGGGAGAATGGAGATTTTCATCACATGGTATCCCCCCATTGATGCAAATATATAATATCTCTTTGTTCACCTGTTATTTATCGTCTCTCAGTTATGGCTGAATGTCTTTCAGCCAAGTTTCCTGTTTTCTAAATAAAGACCTCATACATGAAGGCCTTGTTTATTTCTATCTTGCTGTTACAAATATAATCTTTTCCAAAAAATGCATTTGCTAAATAAAGCGATGCCATTGAATGTCACTATGGGTCACGTGTCTGCCAAACTTGGTAAACTTCAGCATTAATTCTGATAACTTATCATCAGACTCTTTTTAGTTTCCCCAATGGGCAGCAATACCACCTTTACATTTTGATATTTTCTCCTTTTTTTTTGGTTCTCACACCTTCTATTTCATTGTTTTGTCTTACCAAATGGCAAACACCCCCTTACAGTTCAAAGTGGTGATGGTGGCCAGCTACCTGGCCACCTGGTCTGCAGACACACCTGAGCTGTAGCATTTTGTAGACACTTTTCATTGGATTAAGGGAGTTCCTTTTATTTCTGGTTGATTGAGTTTTTAACATAGTAGAGGCTGAATGTTAGGTGGACTTATTGTGAAAGTGTACTTTTACAAAATTTATACGGTTTTTCTCCTTTAAACCTTTATTGCTGTGAATGAAAGTGATCTTCCTACTGTTAAATGAATTGCCTTCTTGAAATAAAACCATAAAACCACATTTAATGCACAATACCTTTTCTATTCATTGCTGAATTATTGCTAATGTTCATGGAGGATGTTTGCATATGCTGACACTGGCCTGTCATTTTCCTTTCTGAGTTTCCTGGTTTTTTTGGGGGAGGGTCAAGATTATACTCATTATACTCTAAGAGCTGGGGAAGTGCTGTCCCTTTTCTATTTTCTGTAAGATTATGTGTCAGATTAGACTTCAAGTTTCCTTGAACACTTGGGATATTCCCTGTCAAGTAATTTAGATTATGTGTATCTTTATGGGAAAGATAAAAAAAATATTAACTCAATTTCTTTATTGGTTTATAGGACTACTCATACATTTCTTTCTTCTTGACTCCATCCTGGTTTCATTTTATTTTTCTAGGAATTTATTCATTTTATGTAACTTTTCAAATATTTGCAATTAGAATGCTCCTAATGGCCACTGTCTGGCACTGTTTTCTTTTTTGTACCTGATAGTGTTTATTGTGCCTGTCCTAATTTTTTCTTAATAATTTGGCCAGATGTCCACTTTTATTTTCATTCAAGACCAATTTATTTTATTTGCAAGTTTTTTCTTTCTACTGCCAACTTTTTTGGTATGTTTTTAATTATTGTTGTTCAAGTAGAGTTTTCTTTTTTCCCCACCCCAGCCCAACCCCCAGGCCTCCCCACCTCCCTCCCATTTCCAACCCCTCTCCCACATTATCGTCCATGTGTCCTTTATAATTGTTCCTGCAAACCCTTCACACTTTTCCTCTGAAATTCCCTTCCTTTTCCCCTCTGGTCACTGTCAGCCTGTTCTCAATTATAGTGTCTTTAGTTATATTTTGCTTGTTTGTTTGCTTTGTTGGTTAGAGAAAAGAGAACCCTAGTGCACTGTTGGTGGGATTGCAGACTGGTGCAATCACTATGGAGAACAGTATGGAGTTTTCTCAGAAAACTAAAAATGGATCTGCCTTTTGACCCAGCAATTCCACTGCTGGGATTATACCCTAAGAACCCTGAAACACTAATCCAAAAGAACTTATGCACCCCCATGTTCATAGCAGCACAATGTACAATAGCCAAGTGCTGGAAGCAACCTAGTGCCCATCAATAAATGAATGGATAAAAAAACTATGGTACATTTACACAATGGAATTCTATGCAGAAGACGAAAAGAAGGAGCTTCTACCCTTTGTGACAGCATGGGTGGAACTGCAAAGCACTATGCTAAGCAAAATAAGCCAGGTAGTGAAAGACAAAATACCATATGATTTCACCTTTGACAGGAACCTAATCAACAGATGTTCACTTTTTAAAGAACCATCTTAGACTTTGTTGATTGTAGTACATATTAACAAGCCAATTTCAATGACAAGGTAGGTTGGGCTTGCTACAGACCCCGATGTGCCTTTTCATTTGTGGACACTGAAGGCCTGTGACCAGGAGCCTGGAGCTGTCTCAGGAGTGTGTGAAATGAGGGTGGGGAGAAGAGGCTTCTTCTCTCTTTCCCTGAGGGTAAAGCGATCTCCTGGTTATGGGGATGAGAAGCTTGGGGTAAGCCAGCAACGCAGCAAGCAGGGCAGGTTGCATTACTTCTTTTTTTCACTTCTGAAGAAACCATTTCTGTGGCTGTTGGGGATGGGGAGGCTGAAGTTGGTTTCTTTAATTCTTGGGCATTGAAGTCAAGGGAAGATTTTTCAAAGTCATGGATCTGAAAGGCATGAGCAGCAGTCAGTTAAATCAGTGTCGCAGGCCCACACCTCACCTGTCTGGTGTGATTCCGCACCCCTGCTCTCACCACTCTGAAACTCCTACCCCTGGAGAAGGGCTTTCATCACCCCTTCTCTCTGCTTGCTGGCATCCTTTGAATGGTCATTGGAAGAGACAGACTATGGCACTCATACAACAGATTACGATGACACAGCAATGGGAATGAGCAGCTGTAAATGCATACAACTGCATGGATGGATCTCACAAACCATTCTGAATGAAAGAAACCAGGTGCATATAAGGATATACTGTGTTTTTCAATGTAAGATCACAAACTGGCAAAACTAATGTAGTGCCTTGGAAGTCAGGATAGTGCCTACTCTTTGAAGGTGGAGCAGGGAGAATGACCCAGTGCCCTCCTGCTGGGCATGGTGCAGGCGCTCTGCATTTGTTATCTCCTTTCATTCCTCCAACTTCTCTCTGATGTAGGCACTACATCCCTTTTACAGATGACAAAGCGGAGAATCAACGAGGCTAAGTTACCTGCCCAAGGTCACAGAGCCATAATGGGGTGCAGCCAAGGCCCCCCAAACAAAGGATTTGAAACAGGATCCAGAACTTGGGTGTCAAGGAAATATAAAAATATAGGCTATGCCCACCCCTACAAGTTGGATTGGGGGATGGGACATGTGGAGCAGAGCCATTGAGACTTATTTTGCATATCAACAGATGGCCAGCTTCATACATGATATGCAAAAATGGTTATTTTGCATATCAACAAGTTTAGCTAGGGAGATATGCATAACTTTGGCCTGTGTTGTAACTGGGAGGCAGCTCCCCTTACAGCACCTACGTAAGACCTAGGAAGTGGTTGGCTCCATGCCATGGGGCCACACCTGCCCAGACTTATTATAGCAACCAAGAAAGGCTGAAAAATGCCGGAGTACTGGCAAGTGTAGCCAACTGTGAGAGAAGTCAGAAATGGGGATACAGAGGAAGATTCACACTGGGATTTAAACCCAGGTGCGGCAGCCACGCAGGGTCCAACCAAGTGGGTTTTGGGGGCAGAGGGGGGCTCCCTTGAACCCTGTGGTTTAGGAAGCAGGAGAGCAAGATATAGCAGCCATGCAGAACTCTCAGCAGTTTGGAAGAATGTGGGACCTTGCTGGAGGAAAAGGGGTGAAAAGACTCTTGCTGGTGGGCCATGAGGAGGTGCCACATGGTTTGGGGTTAAGAACTGGAGATTTTGGTAATCTGATGATGCTGATGGTGCTGGGAACCATGGGAGGCCTGCCAGTCAAGCACAGATTACTGGGAGGAACTGGCAGTCTAACTGAGCTAAGGACTTCTATTTTTTCCTGAGATATGGTACCCCTGACTGGCCTGACTGGGCAAAGGGAGGAAGGAAGGACTGTGTGTGTTTGTGGGTGTTTCAAGGAACTTCGAAATTTTTAATGGCACCATTCTGCCATTACTCTAAATCTGTATAACTTTTGAATAAATAGTGCCTTTTTACCAAACTCTGGCATTGACAGCCATAATTCCTGACACCTGGTGGCAGTGCTAGGAAAACCCGCAGTGACAGAGAGACTCCATATCTGTGCCCACTCCATGGGTCCATTCTGTAACAGAGCTACTATCTAAAGAGTCACTGTGGAAGAGGATTCCAACACTGGATACGGATGACTCCAGAGCCTACGTTCAAGTACCAGGTGGATCATGGGAGTAGTACACCAATATGTCTTCGTTCATTGCTGCATTGAGGAACTCTGACCCAAACTTGATCACATGTGTGTCTTCATGAGTAACCCACTGTACACAGAGGTATTTCCATGAGAAAATGAGCCAGTGACACTGGCTATGCTTACCTTGTGAGGTGAGTTGGCAGAGTGAACCTGTTTTGGGGAAATAAAAGAAGAGTCACCAATCCATGAAAATGTAAAGATGACTAATGGCCTTCCAGCCATGGTGTTTCTAGGCTGTTTGATTTCTAGCTGAAGGAAGTGGCAGGTGTTGAGAAAGGTGGGTGGGGAGGGATCTTGTGATCACTTATGGAATGTGTTTCCCTCAGAGCCTATGGTCCAGACCCAGGGTGTTAGTACCAGCTGGTGGGCAGGAGGAGAGCTACAGAGGCCTCAGTCCACTTCTGAAGCTTTATTCCTGTTCACAAGGACTTGCTTTTTGCCCATATGAGTTTCTCAGCACCAGGCACCATTGGCAAGGAGGGGCATTGAGACCTGCAGCACCCAGAGCACCACAAGACAAGAAAAGTCTCACGAAAGAAGCCCGCATCCATAGTAGAGGCAGCGGGGAAGGTGGGAATGGCTCCTGGAAAGTTGTCCATCTTACCCAGGCCTGCCTGGGTGGCTGAATCTCACCCAGGGCTGGGTCTCAGGGGAATCTTCTGTGGTTAGAAGGGTGTGAGGGCCTACTTCAAACTAAGGTTGGGGAATCGAGATTCCCTTCTAAAAATTCAGATGGTACTGGGTATGTGAGAATCCAGGATTCCCTGCTAGGGCAGGCCACATGGTGGAACACACCAGCTCACACCAGGTGATAGCTTTACTTACTGTGGTTGGAGGCTGAGGGTTTGTGCTCTGTGAGATTGCTCTGGTTGTTTGCCCTAAATAAATATCAGAGACTGTGACTGCTGTTCCCAAGCATAGGATCTTTGCTCCTTGAAGTAGGAAGGACACTGTCAGCAGGTAATTCCCTGGGTGAGGGCTCCTCAGTGCTCATCTATACCAGGGTCAGCACTGCCTTTCCTCCTAGTGCCTCCTCAATGTACTGACCATCCACCACCCCCTCTAGTGAGCACCCCTTTTTTTCTGGCCTGACATTCACATAGATCCCTTCTTTATCAACTGCTTCTGAGCCTGCTTCTACCCTGCACCTTTCTCTTTTGCAGGTAAATGCTGTTTTTATTCTCACTTTATTTATTGCCCAAGGGGCCTTTAGTTTTTGCTTTTTCTTAGGTTCTTTTGCTGTCCTATCCCTCTCTTCTTCTCTTCCTGCGGTTGACAGAGCACACAACTCATTTTCACCTCCTCTTTTCATACTTTCATTTATTTCCCTTCTTGGACCTTGGTTTCCTGACTAGGGGACAAAGGAACATAATGAGATCTGCTCCCTCTAAGCCACATGGTAATAACAATAAGTGTGTGCTGGAGAGAATAGGGCACAGGAATCTTGAAGACCAGGGAAGAAGAGGCTTCAGGGATTAGTGCTCAGAAGCAAAAGGATAGAGAGGAGGAGGAGCAGATCCAAGTTCAGAGATGGAGAGGAAGTCTCCATTTCTCTCCCAAGCATGGAGTGTAGCTTTGGAGAATATGGGACAAGAGGAAAGGCCATCCTACCCTCCAGTCTTCTTGATATACAGAAAGTACACCAGGGCTGCTGTCAGAGCTACCACGGCCAGGACTCCAATCACAATGCCGGCAATGGCCCCACCTGAGATGCCAGGACTTGGTGGTGTCGAAACATCTGTCATGAAAAGGGAAGGATGAATGAAAGTGACATTATTTTACAGTGGGGTGCCCTGGAAAATAAGTCTCAACACGAAGAAGTCTGTACTTGTTCCTCCTAGGAATACATTTTCTGTGGGAAGGTTTCTGTGTTGTCATTAACTGACTATATCCTTGTATTTTTTTCCCTCTCACTGTATTTCTAGGTTGGTGGTCAGACTTGCCTCAATTCTAGCCTGGCAATTTTTCATTCATTTAAAAAATATTTTTAGAGCTTTGGAAATGTGAGAAAGGCTGATTGCCATTTTTGTAGGTTTTCACTTTCCACCTTTTCATGGTTGCATGTTTCCTGTGTATCAGGTATGGTGGCCATGAACATGTGCCACTCAGGTCTCCTGTGGTAGGGGACTTAAGCGATGAACAGTGGTGCCTTAACCACCTCCTTTGCACAGAGACCATGCTTCCCTGGGCTCCCAGCAAGGACACAAAATAAACTCAATTCTGTGAGAAACGGTTTCCTCCTATGGGCAACTTTAGCTCAGGGTCTCCCTGTCAGCCTTGCAGACACTCTCTTAGAACTGCACTGCAGCCTAACACTCTCTTCTCTTTGTCCTTCACAGGAATCAGAGCTGCTCTTCCCACTTCCATCCCACTTTCCTTCACAGACATTTTTTCCAGTAAATACTCTGTATGTCTAATCCTATGTTGGCTGCATCTCAGGGGATGAAAACTAACAAACTAGGCTTGAAACTGCATTCAACTCCTTTTTTCTTTTCCTGTATTTAGTCAGTGACCATGTCCCAGTGAATTTTGTGTGTAATGCCCCTGCCACTCCCTCAAATATAAATCACTTTTCATCTGTTTCTTCTTTTTATTTCTGTTGCCCTCACAAATGAACTCAAGATCGATGACTCATATTCATGATGGCTACTGTTAGGGGTACTTACTATGTGTCAGGGTCTGTGCTAAATCCTCTACTTACATCTCATTTGATTCCTATAATAATCCTGTCTGATAGATATTATTTTACTTTACTGGTGAAAAATGAGAGGCTTTAGAGTGGTGAAAAGTTTCCAAAAGTCATAAAACTAGTACGAGGTGGATCTGGGATTTGACTTTAGGGTTACTGGACTACCTAGAGGCTAATGGTAATAGTAATAATAATAGTAGCTAAAATGAACCATTTCCACTGTGTGTGGCTTTTTGCTAAGGTTTTAACTGATCATTACATTAAATATTTAAAGCAATACCATGAAATAGGTCCTCTTATTGTAACTTCCAGTTGTGGAATATGAGGCTCAGAGAAGTTAAGAATATTGTGCAAGAAATCTGTAATTGTAAATGTAAATCATAATTGTAAATCATTCTTTACAAAAGAAGAAAGATCTCAAATCAACACCCTAACTGTACAACTAAGGAACTAGAGAAAGAAGAACAAAATAAACTCAAAGCTAGCAGAAGGGAGTAATAAAAATTAGAATGGAGATAAATAAAATACAGAATGAGAAAAAACAGTAGTGAAAATTGATGAAACCAAAAGTTGGTTTATCAAAAAAGCCTAACAAAGTCGACAAACCTTTAACTAGACTGGCTAAGAAAAAAGAGAGAAGATTCAAATCATTAAAATCAGGAATGAGAGTTGGAATGTTACTGCCAATTCTACAGAACAAATAAGAGTTCTGATAGTACTGTGAGTGACCATATGCCAACAAATTAGACAACTTAGTAATTTGAAATAAACAAATTACTAGCTCCAAACCTTCCAAGATGGAATCACAATGAAATAGAAAATATGAGTAGACCTACAAATAGTAAGGAGAAGAATCAGTATGAACATTTGACAGAAATTCATCATTTTTAGAAAAAATAAAAACAAACTAAAAATGGAAAGAAACTACCTCAATATTATAAAGATACTTTATGAAAAAACCCACAGCTAACACCATTCTCAACTGTGAAAGAGTAAAATTTTTTCTAAGATCAGGCAGAACACAACAATCTCTGATTTTGCCATTTTTTTCCACAAACACAATTGGAAATTTTGGCCAGTTATTAGGTTAGAAAAAGAAATAAAATGCATCCAAGTTGGAAAGGAAGATGTAAAATTACCTCTGTTTGCATATGGCAGGGACTTTATGTAGAACACACTAATGATCCCACAAAAAAACTCTTAAAACTAATAAACAAATGCAGCAAAGTTGTAGGATACTAAACCAACATGTAAAAATCAGTTGTGTTTCTATATGTCGACAATAAACAAGAGAGGAAATTAAGAAAAATCCATTTATAGTAGCATTAAAAAGAATAAAATACTTAGGAATTAACTTAGACAGGGAAGTGAAAGTCTTATATACTGAACAACTAGAAATAACACTGGTTAAAAAAAATTAAAGACATGAATAAATGGGAAGACATTCTGTGTTCATGGATTGGCAGACAATATTGTTAGGATGACCGTACTGCCCAAAGTGACCTACAGGTTCAATGCAGTCCCTATCAACATCCCAATGACTCTTTTGGAACAATAATAGTAAAATCTATCCCAAAATTCATATGGAATTTCAATAGACCCCAAATAGCTGATACAGCCTGGAGAAAGAAACACAAAGTCGGAAGATTCAACTCTTCTTGATTTCAAAATTTACTACAAAACTACAGTAAGAAAAACAGTATGGTACTAGCATAAAGACAAGTATTTAGACCAACGGAATAGAAAGCCATATGTGAGGGTTTATTTATGGGCTTTCCTTTATTTTTTTAATTAACTATTTTTTTTTTAGAGAGAGGGGAGAGGAAGGAGAAAGAGAGGTAGAGAAACATCAGTGTGTGGTTGCCTCTCGAGCACTCCCCTACTGGGGACCTGGCCGGAAACCCAGGCATGTGCCCTGACTGGGAATTAAACCAGCAACCCTTTGGTTCATAGGCTGGTGTGGCTCAGTAGATTGAGTGCTGGCCTGTGAACCAAAGGATCACTGGTTCGATTCCAAGTCAGGACACATGCCTGGGTTGTGGGCCAGGTCCCTGATTGGGGTTGTGTGAGAGGTAACCACACACTGATGTTTCTCTCCCTCCCTTCCCTTCTTTCTAAATAAATAAATTAATTTAAAAAATAAAGAAAAGCCCAGAAATAAACCCTCACATATATGGTCAGATGATTTTGACAAGAGTACTAAGACCATCTAACAGGGAAAGGAGAATCTTTTCAAGAAATGGAGCCTGGCTGGTGGTAGCTCAGTGGATCAAGTGTGGGCCTGCAAACCAAAGGGTTGTGGTTTGACTCCTAGTCAGGGCACATGTCTGGGTTGCATGCCAAGTCCCCAGCAAAGGACATGTTAGAATCAACCACACAGTAATGTTTCTCTCCCTCTCTTTCTCCTGCCCTTCCCTTCTACCCCCAAATAAATAAGTGAAATCTTAAAAAGTAAAAGAAATGGTACTGGAGAAACTGGATATCCACCAAAAGAATGAATTTGATTTCTTAGTTAACACTATACAAAAATTAGGTCATAAAGGATCAAAGATCTAAGTGTGAGAGTTAAATCTAAAAAACTTTTAGAAGAGAACATTGGGTGAAAGCTTTATGACACTGGCTTTGGTAATGATTTCTTGAATAGGAAACCAGCTGCACAGACATCAAAGAAAAAATATGTAAATTGGACTTGATCAAATTAAAAACTTTCTGTGCATCAAAGGACATTGTCAACAAAATGAAAAGACAAGACCCGGAATAGGACAAAATATTTGAAAGTCAAATACCTGATAAAGGATTATAACCAGAATATGTAAATAACAATTAGAACTCAACAACAAAAAATCCAATTAAAAATTGGCCAGGGGAATTGAATATTCATTTTTTCAAAGATATACAACTGGAAAATAAGCACATGAACAGATGCTCAGCATCACTAATCATTAGGGAAATGCAAATCAAAATCATGAGATACCTCCTCACATCCATTAATATGGTTATTACTAAACAAACAAACAAACAAGCAAATGCAGAAAACAGTGCATTGGCGATGATGGGGAAAAACTGGAACTTCTGTGCATTGTCTGAAGGAATATAAAATGGTGCAGCCACTATGGAAAATAGCATGGTAGTTCATAAAAAAATTGAACCAAGACTTGTTATTTAATCCAGCAATTTCCCTTCTGGGTATATACTCAAAAGAATTGAAAGCAGGAATTTGAACAGATATTGGTACAACCTTGTTCACAGCAGCATCACGTATGAAAGGGGAAAAGTAGAAACAATCCAGAAGTTCATGGATGGATGAATGATAAATGAAACATGATGAACACATACAAGGAAATATTACTCAGCCTTAAGAAGGAATGAAATTGTGATATATGCATAACATGGTGCACCTTGAAGACATCATGGTAAGTGAAATAAGCTAGACACAGAAGGACAAATATCATGTGATTCCACTTGTATGAAGTACCTAGAATAGTCACATTCACAGAGACAGGATGGTGGATTCCAGGGGTTGGCAGTGGCAGGGTGAGGAGTTAGTGGATACAGAGTTTTAGTGTGGTAAGATGAAACGTTCTGGAATACAAAGTGGTGATAGTTGCATAATCATTGATATGAATGTACTAATGCCACTGAACTGTGCACTTAAAATAGTTAAAATGGCCAGTTTTATGTATATTTTACCACATAAAAATGGTAATAAAATGACCTCGTAAAGGTCACAGTGAATTCCAAACTCAGGATAAGAAACTAAGTCTATGCAATTCAGAGACTGAACTCTTAACCATTTTGCCATTCTGTAGTGCTCTCCTGATTGACCTTCTGCCCCCGGGACTGCTTTCCATTTCACACACCATTGGTAGAGCAATCGTCCCAGGAAGGTGGAGGATGGGGCCAAGGGTCACTTACATTGTACACCCAGCCTGAAGGGGTCACTTTTGCTGGCACTGACAGGGTTGGAGACCCCACACTGATAGCTCCCAGCATCCTCCCTCCTGACAGGCTCTATGATCAGGGTGCTGTTGTCCCTGGACAGCTTTGTCCTTTCTGTGAGCAGGAGTCTCTGGTCCCTGAAGAACCACCAGATGGAGATCCCAGTGTCATTTGTGAGGCAGGTCAGCACCACAGTGTCCTTATGCTCTGTGACAGCGGTGTTCCTGGCTTGGATGAAGGGCTTCCCCACGGGCTCTGTGGAGAAAGTAGAAGGTAACTGACTGAGAGCAGGCTTCTTCCTCAGAGCCTCAGCCAATCACAGCCCCCACGGAGCTCTGATATAGTCACTGGAGGATGGCTCTGACTTCTGAAGGAGGACCAGTATCTTTGTTCAGGTGACAATATGTAAGGAGAGGTCTATGTCTCTCCCTGTGACTCCAGATCACCCCAGGATGACCTCTGACATCTCCCCCTGCACACCTGTAGAAGCAGCACCACGAACCTCTTCTCAGCCCAAGTGTCCAGCATCCTCAGTTTCAAGTGGAATTTTTCACCCATTGACTTTTCTGTGACTCTTTCCTGTAGTTTTCTCTGACTTTCTATGTGATCAAACCCTCTCTCCATATGATGGCTTTACCTAGGCAAGGGAAGGCTTTTCCTGTTTGTTAAATAATTTATAAGACAATGAGAACAGCCCAGCCAGTATTCCTGACCTTAGGGCCTCAATAAATTCCAGTCCAAAGGCTTTCTCAGTGTGAATAGGACTCTCACTTCCTGGCCCGTGGAGTGATTATCACAGAGAAGAGAAACCTCTAGAGAGAAGCAGTCACAGGTTAGCAAAGGCTGGGACTCTCAGCCTCCTCTGGAGTCTACATTCTCTGTGGCACTGCCCCTTCTGCCCTGTGAAGGGACTTCATAAAGGAGTCTACCCATCAGTCAGGTGAGCACCATCGCTCACTGCTCTCCTCTGGAACATTACACACACTGGTGTCACACAGTGTTACATAGCTGGTGACCTCAGAGCCAGGACACAACTCAGAGTTGGTTACACTGTTTCTGTTTCCAGCAGCCTGGCTGGAGGGAGGCTCTGGTGTTGGTGGGTGGAACAGTTTGACCAGATGGAGGACAAGGCACCCGTGCAACTCCTCCAGGGCTCCTGTCCCAGCACAGGGGGCACAGAGTCAGGCACCAGGTGAGCCTGGAGCAGAGCAGGGACCAGGGGTCTGTCCTGCTCACCCTCCTTGGAGGGGGTTTCACCCTTTTGTTTGGGGAGAAAGAGGTGAGCTTGACTCAAAGCCTTGTATGTTCCCTGGAGCACATGGAGTGGTCACAGAAAAGGAGGAGGTGACCAAAGGAATGAGTTAGTGACAGAAGAAGCAACTTGACCATGAGGCCCCTTGCTTTTCCCCTCTGTGAGGCCCCCTCTACCACATGGGGCTTTTCTGAGGCTGAGAGAACCCCCTCCTCTCTTTCTAAGACTGGACCCCTGGTGCCATGAGAATTTAGAAGAGCAAGGGGAGGAGAGAGACTACAGAGATGTGGGGGAGGGTTCAGGGGAAGGATTTGTGATTTGTTGTGTCCATGGCCACACAATGGAGACAATATCCAAGACCAACCTCCACCCCAGAGCTTGGTGCTGATAGTCTAGGAGACATTTATCAGTCACTGTGATGGTCCTGACTCTGGTCCTACTGAGGCAGGGACATAGTTATGGGTCCACCGTCACTCACAGTAATGCTGGGGATAAAGAGCTCCTGTGTGGGTTGCTGGGGTCTTCCATTGATAAGCCAAGATCACTGTGTAGGTGGGTTAGAGGCTGTGTGGCAGGAGAGTCTGAGGTTTGCTCCTGGTGAGTAATGGGAGTCTAAGGGGGAAATGGAGGGGGCATCTGGGCCATCTGGAGCAAACAAAGCAAAGCCACACATGATGTCATCAGAGGGAAAGGAAAGCTCCTGGCCTGTGTAAGGGCCACAGTGTCTCTCTGAAATTGGTCACATCCTTGATTTACAAAGTTCCAATCAGACAGATTGACATATAGAGAGAGGCTGAGAGCTCTGGGGGTTTCTGTGGGACTGGGAAGGTGGGGCGTTGAAAAAAAAAAGTGAAAAAACTCATGGACGTAGACTATAGTGTGGTGGTTCCAGGGTGGAGAGGGGTGGTTGGAAGTGGAAGAGGGTGTAGAGGGGATAAATGGTGATGGAAGGAAGTTCTAACCATAACCTCTGTGTTCAGTGAGCTTGAGGCTGAGACATTAACCTGTTTGTCTCAAACCCAGATTCAACCCTGAATTTGTCTAGGAAAGAAAATCTTGGCTCCCCTGGGTGTCTGGGGTGAGGGTCTGTGCCCTTAGGAAGAGCAGGATGTAGCCTGGCCTCTGGTCTGTGGATTCAGGTGGTTGTCTGGACAACACAGGGACAGAAGTTACTCACAGAGAACATTCAGAGTGAAGGGGTCACTGTGGCCAACACTCACTGGGTTCCGGGTTTCACACTCATAGGGACCTGTGTCGTTCCTCGTGACATGGAGCAAAGTGAGAGTCCTGTTGTCCTTGGACAGCTCCAGCCTGGCACTGTCCTGGAGGCTCTGACTGTTGATCAGCCACGGGTAGGTGGTGTCCATAGTGTGAGGTTCACACGTGAACAGGATAGGGTCCTTGTGCTCCTCGGGGTTGGAGTTGTTGGTTGTGATGCTGGGTTTGGGTAACTCTGTTGTTTAGTTAGCAGAGAGAACAGTGCCCTGGGTGGTACCTTTGATTCCTCCAAAGGCATCTTCAAGGGTTGACACCTCTCACCTCTCACCTCTCAGTCAACCCAAGTTTTTTTAAAAGAACAAGGCAGGTGTGTCTATTGCACAACAAAAGGAGGGCCTGAGTGCTGAGAGAATGTAAGGCCTCCAGTGAGTGTCTGGAGAAAGCACAGACTGTCTCAGGTGTCAGTTAAGTATGCGGGATTGATCATGGAAAGACATACCCTTGGGAGAAAGAGACCACTGGACACCTGTCCTGGTTTTTTGCTGACCAGCTGACTGCCTGACCAACCTTGGTGTCTCTCCTGGGATGTGCAGGTGCGGAGTCCCTTCGAGCTGCACAGACCTACAATGCTGGATCAAGATGTGTTTCCAGCCTGGCTGGTGTAGCTCAGTGGATTGAGCACGGGTCTGTGAAGTAAAGCATCAGTTCAATTCCCAGTCAGGGCACATGCCTGGGTTGCAGGTCAGTTCCCAGTGGGGGACACATGAGAGGCAACCATACATTGATATTTCTCTCCCTCTCTCCTTCGCTCCCCTCTAAAATAAATGAATAAAATCCTTAAAAAAAGAATTTATTAAAAAAAATGTGTTTCCACTAAAGACTCACATTCCAGGCTTATTCTAAAGATGAGTCATGAAGGACCATCCCACAGTGCTTATACCCTCAGAAGACTGAGCGGTGTGGCCTGGGACTGGGTGGTTGAGCAGAAACGAAACATGGGAACACCAGGAGCAAGTCTGGGGGTCAGTTCAGGCTTCAGGATGCAGGGCCATGAAATGAGCAGTGTGCCCAAGACTGGTGACTATTTAATTTATGACTGACGTGACAGTGACCCCACAAAAGGTAGAGCAGAGTCCAGGAATGATTGAGACAAGACAGGTTCATCAAGAGCTGGCTGGCTTTGGCAGCAGAACCAGGCTCTCTGCCCTCAGTCTTTAGTGTCCTGTCTCCCACTGAAGTAGGCAGGACCCTTCCTCAAACACTCAGACAACAGCAACTACAGAAGGGGTGACTGGGGGCACTGGGGGAGCTGGAACTTGCTAAAATATGGCCATTGTGTACCATTTGTGTTTGGCATTATGAGACAGAACTTTGAGTTAAATAGTGAAAGAATAAGTGAAAATCATTATTACTTCCCAAAGATCTAAGACCAGTCTCTGGAGGGATCTCTCGTCAAGAGAACATTGAAGGTCACAGAGCAAGTTCTGAGTCCAACCAGGGACACACTGTGACCAAAGGAAGACACTACAGTGAGTGTGAAGTCAGTGCCTCCTGGGGAGAGAGACTGTGAGTCCTGCTAAGGGGACAGAAGTGACCAGAGAGCACGGGCCTGTGTGTCTGTTGTGTAAAGGGAGGGATGACACCAAACTGGTAGAAAAGACACATATTATGTTGGTACACGTAGGAAGAAAGTCCCCATCACCAGTTTCTGTGGACAGTCAGGCTAGTGGGAGGAGCCCCCACCTAACTCACCAAACAGAACTGAGCTTTGATCAAATTCATTCAAGTTGAACAGTGTCTGAGAGAAAAGACAGAGGCTGGTGCACCTCACTGTCTGAGAGGGTCCCATCCCATGGCAAAGGTGCCTCATGAGGAAACACGTGTGTGACACAGGCAGTGAACCAGTCAGATGGGGCAGCGTCACCAGCCCCACTTTGGGAAAGTTGGGAGATGCTGGAACGAACAGGAGACTCACACTAGACACAGATGTGTCACGATTCAGGGATGAAGTGAGCCCTGTTGGAGACTGAGGCCTGTCCTTCTGCTTTTGACTCCCTGGTAGAGTCACGCAGAGAGTAGATCAATGGTTACATGTCCCTGTCAGGTGTCCTGTTCCTGTTCTTGGCATGAGGGAGGGAAGGAGCCCTGGATGGGGCACAGTGGAGGCTCTTTCTCCTGTGACCTGGGAACCTGGCTCCTGATGGAGGCAGGGCTGCTGCTCTGACTGACTTCTGTGTCCTTCCTGTTGCCCAGGAGGATGGGCCTGGGAACAGGTGTGAGCAGGAGAACCTGGGGAGCCTGCAGGGTGGAGGAAGCAGAGCAAAGCAGGGCAGTGGGGCTGGAGTGAAGGAGGAGGCAGATGAGGGACATGGAAGCAGCAGAGAGAGCCAGAAATGTCTTTGGTGAGCAGTGGGGGTTATAGGTGACTTCAAGGACCCCAGGGGCCAAGAGCCCAGGGCTGCCCCAGGGCAGGATCAGTGCAGCTGGGAAAGTCCCTCCCGCAGCTGGGCAGCCCCACAGTCTCTGTGAAACTTGGCTCCTGAGGGGGCTTCAAGGGCAGGTGGTCAGAGGGATGGAACGTGGGTCTCTGTCCCTGGAGGGACAGGGAACAGGTGTTGCCAAAACCTACTAAGACTATATCCAGGTTCCAGTTTCTGTACAGATTATGGTTCATTCATTCATTCATTCATTTTTCCACCTCTCACTCCTATCCTACACCAAGGAGCTACTGAGTGCTGGTCCCTGAGCTGGTTGCAGGTGTGGAGTGAGGAGTGAGAGGCAAAGTCCTTCCCTTCATATCCAGTGGGAGTGACACCAACACATCAGGAAGCAAAGAAGGGATTGCAAGTCCAGGGCAGGGAGGTGTGGATGGGCCACCTGAGGGGGAGCCCTGGGCGTTCCCAGCACTGACTCTGATTGTTACTGCAGGTACTTTGGTTCTGGAGTAAAAACAGATTAATTCTCCATTTCCTTTGACTCCCAGAGCAGAAAATAGATGGGGGGGGCAAGATTAGTATGGGAAATATAGAATCTAAAGAACTTGAGACACATGGTCATAAACTAAAGGGGGGGGTGATGGGGACGGGAGGTAGGGTGGAGGGGAATGAAGGAGGGATAGAACAACTGTAATGGCATAATCAATAAAAAAAAGAAAAGAAAAAAATCTCTCCCTCTGTGCTGGCCACATCTAAGAAGAAAGGATCTGAACTGGCAGCTGGTGTCAGGGTCTACACATGCCTGACAGGCCCTTGGAGTGGAGGGGAGGATGGGCTGGGAGTGCAGACAGGTCTTGGCGTGACTCAGACTGGACAGTCCTGGTCTGTGTGACTCTGCATGAATGTGCCCCTGTAACTGGTCTTGGGCTTGCCAGGCTGTCTCTAGATGATCCTTAAATCTTTCCCAATTTCCTGACCTAACACTTGGAACAGAGGAGCTGACCCAGCTAACAGCCTCTGTGACCATTTGTGTCCCTGATAGAGGACTCCCTGGCCTGACTCCTGGTGGACGAGGGGCTATGAGCAGCATCTTCTCTGTTCCTCCCCTGGGGACACTGACCTTCCTCTGGAATCTCCTATGTTCCCCAGGGCAGGTAGCTAATGGCCTGGGGACCTTGTCCACATGATAGTCTCCACTGATAGTCTCAGGTGAAGGGCCATGTTCTACCAGTGCCCAGATGTAGCTCTTGAACCTGAGCCCTCGCTGGTGACCAGCTCAAGAGCCTTGTGATTCAGGCACCTGGGAAATTGTGGCTCCCAGTCAGCCCTGCCCACACATGAAACTAGCCTGACCCAGGTTCCCCAGGCTCCCTAGGACAGGCGTCTGTGGAAGGACTGCCACTTTTAGCTCTATGAGGTTCCCAAAGGGCACCCTCAGGTCAGGCCCTGTCTGAGCCCTGCAGGGTCTTTCTCAGGGTCATGGTCATGGGGAGAGGTCCAGGAAGCTTGACTGAGAGTGGTCTCTTTCTGCTGAGTTACTCCCATCAGACTGGTACTCTGTTTGTGGTGAATGAATGTGTGCAGGACTGAATTCTGATCTTAGGAAGTTTGTCTCCACCATGTGTGTCCTGCACTAAATGTCCAACTCCCCCCCGGGACGTGAAGCAGAGGGGGATGGAAGCAGAGTCCAGGGAGTGAGACCTGAGTGTGAGTAGAATTCACCCCACCCAACCCCCAGAGGGCAGAGAGCAATCACTCACGGTACACACGGAGGTGTCCCTTTGCTTCTTCCTTCTGAAAAGTTTTCCTTATGGCTTGTACGGTGTAGTATCCTGTGTCCTTCAGGGTGATGTTCTGGAGCAGCAGGGATCCATTGGGGTATATGGTCTCTCGACTGCTGTGGGCAGGCCCCGGGGTAAATTCTTGAGTGTGTATTACATATGTTGCAATTACACGGTTGTTGTCCACACTTTCCCCTCTGTACCAGCCATAGCCTATAAGGTTCTCGGGCAGATTGAGGACAAGGAGAAGCACATCGTCCCCTTCAGTAGCATTGATTGATGCAACAGTGAGTTGGGCAGTGGTGGGTGGGCTCCTGAAGCTTAACAGGGAGACTAGGAGGAAAGGAGAAGTCAATCAGTTTTCGGGTCTATGTGTTGGGAGGGAAAGATGAAGCCATGGGTCCTGAGCAGGTCTCTTCATCTCAACCTTAGTGCATGTATGAGTGCAAGCGTGTGTGTGTGTCTCCCACGGTCAAGGTCAGCAGCACAGCCACCATTACTTCAGTGCTTCTAAACCCATTATTTCTTCTGTTTCGAAACTCTGTTCTAGGCATTCGCCTGTCTCACCCCCTCACTGCCCTCAGGCCCCTGCGGACAGTCAGGAGCATCCTCGAAACACTTCTCTCTTGCCCACTTTTTCCAGAGACCCTGTGTCTTCACCTTCTGACCTGCCCTGGCTCTTTTCCTTTTGTTGCACCTCTGGGTACCTGATATCACATCCAGATCTTTCCTTGTCTGTCCCCTCCCCACAGAACGTGAGCTCCGCTGGGGCAGAGGCGTGTCTGACCCTGTTGTACCCCCAGTGCCTCCCACAGGCTGCAAGCACCTGTGGGGCAATGAGTGGGTGGTCCCAGGTCCTGCTCCTCCTGGGGTGCATCTGCTTCTTTCTGAGGTTGGTGGTAAGGACGTTTAGTGCCCCTGGTTACGTTTTCCTGGTGTCACCCCTGATATAAATTGTTATTATTCTCACCAGTTTTCAGAAATTAATTCTCTTTTTCCATAAATGACTTTTATAATATTGCAGTAGTTTCTTTCTACTTCTAGTTAGAGTATTTTTATAAAAATAAAGAAGGTGAATTTTGTCGAATGCTCATATTGATTCTTCTCCTTACTATTTATAGGTCTACTCATATTTTCTATTTCATTGTGATTCCATCTTGGAAGGTTTGGAGCTAGTAATTTGTTTATTAGTTTTAAGAGTTTTTTTTTTGTGGGATCATTAGTGTGTTCTACATAAAGTCCCTGCCATATGCAAACAGAGGTAATTTTACATCTTCCTTTCCAACTTGGATGCATTTTATTTCTTTTTCTAACCTAATAACTGGCCAAAATTTCCAATAGTGTTTGTGGAAAAAAAACGGCAAAATCAGAGATTGTTGTGTTCTGCCTGATCTTAGAAAAAGTTTTACTCTTTCACAGTTGAGAATGGTGTTAGCTGTGGGTTTTTTTCATAAAGTATCTTTATAATATTGAGGTAGTGTCTTTCCATTTTTAGTTTGTTTTTATTTTTTCTAAAAATGATGAATTTCTGTCAAATGCTCACACTGATTCTTCTCCTTACTATTTATAGGTCTACTCATATTTTCTTTTTTTTTTAAAGGTCTTCATTATTTTTTATTTTTGGCAATAAAATTTGCTCTTATATAAATTATATCATATTGTATAATTCATTCTTTTTTTTGCCTTTTTTATTGATTATGCTGTTACTCATATTTTCTATTTCATTGTGATTCCATCTTGGAAGGTTTGGAGCTAGTAATTTGTTTATTTCACCTAAGTTGTCTAATTTGTTGGCATACAGTCACTCACAGTACTATCAGAACTCTTATTTGTTCTGTAGAATTGGCAGTAACATTCCAACTCTCATTCCTGATTTTAATGATTTGAATCTTCTCTCTTTTTTCTTAGCCAGTCTAGTTAAAGGTTTGTCGACTTTGTTAGGCTTTTTTGATAAACCAACTTTTGGTTTCATCAATTTTCACTACTGTTTTTTCTCATTCTGTATTTTATTTATCTCCATTCTAATTTTTATTACTCCCTTCTGCTAGCTTTGAGTTTATTTTGTCCTTCTTTCTCTAGTTCCTTAAGTTGTACAGTTAGGGTGTTGATTTGAGATCTTTCTTCTTTTGTAAAGAATGATTTACAATTATGATTTACATTTACAATTACAAATTTCTTGCACAAGATTCTTAATTTATCTGAGCCTCATATTCCACAACTGGAAGTTACAATAAGAGGACCTATTTCATGGTATTGCTTTAAATATTTAATGTAATGATCAGTTAAAACCTTAGCAAAAAGCCACACACAGTGGAAATAGTCTGTAATTGTTAGCTACTATTATAACTACTATTATGATAAATAACTTTTAAAACCTACCGCAATCGAGGTTTTCCTGCCCCTCACACTTACAGGTGGGTCATGGGATTTCCCTGCTGCTGAGCCCCCCAAACCCCATCCTACTCTGCTCCCTGTCCTCTCCCCTCAGGGCCCAACAGAAGCCCCTGTGCCCTCTCAGACCCCTGTCCTCCCCAGGGGACCCAGCCAGTCTCTGTCCCCATCCTCCTGTCCACTTCCCAGGGACTGTCCCCTCCTTACGGGCCAGCAGGACCCCCTGCCCGGCAGTGGCTAAGCGGGACTCCATGGCGTTTGCTGTCTGCTCCGTCCCTCCCTCTGTGAGAGGAGCTTCGATTCCAGAAATGTTCACGGGCTTCGCTGTCCGAAGTGTGCGAGCTGCCGGTCCACTCCAGGTGTGGCGAGCCCGCTCCGGGAGCGCTCCCCGGTCACGTGGTGCGGGGGCGGGGTCTGTACCCAGGTCCCTCCCTCTATCTCCCTCTATCGCCTCTCGTTTCAGTCTTCCTTGTTTCCTCCTTTCCCTTTATCTTCCATCTAGATTTCAGATCCTGGGACTGGCTGAGACCTCTGCCCTTCCTCACAGTGATTCTCCACTCTTCCATCCCCAACCCTCCTGCGCGCGCAGGCACCACCCGTGTGGATGCGCCCAGGCTGGGGACAGCCGGGAGGGGGCGTTCCCCACAGCTGCACGTAGGGTGCAGCGCAGTGTCACCCTCAAGCCCTTCCTATCTCTTCTAGTTTTTTTTAAAAATGATTTTATTTATTTATTTTTAGAGAGGAAGGAAGGTAGGAAGAAAGAGAGGGAGAGAAACTTTGACGTGAGAGAGAAACATCAGTTGGCTTGCAATGTATGTGCCCAGGCCCAAGCTGAACCTGAAACCCAGGCATGTGCTTTGACCCGGAATCAAACCTGTCACTTTTCACATGTCCAACCAACTGAGCCACACAGGTCAGGATTTCTCTAGGGTTTTCGTTCAGAGCAGGAGCCCTGGGGCATCATCAGGAACTCTTGTCACAAGGATGTAACCCTGTTGTATATTGGAATCCCTTGTGGAATTTTGTAAAGATTGTGAGTGTGGAGATGACACCTTAGAAATGATGCATCGGCAGCTGTCCTGCTAAGGTGGATGCCCAACCAGGTGTGGCCCGGAGATATGGTGGTGGGGCAGACACTCTCCCCTTCCAGTGCACAGGGAGGGTCTCAGGTCCCATTACAAATGCAGATTCTGACTTGGCAGGTGTGCAGTGGACCTAGACTTTGCATCTAACAAGCTGTCAGGGGAGGTTGATCTTACTGGCCTGTGAAGCCCTTCCTTCCTCCCTCCCTCCCTCTCTCTCTTCCATTTACCAAGTAATTATTGGGCTTATACCAAATAACCTGGGCATATGGCAGTAAAAAATCCAGGGAAATGGAAATCAAATTCCCCTTAATAAATCCATCAGAATGTTTCATTTGACATTTCTCATAAACATCTAAACTTGTTCATTAAAAAAAAATCACAGGAGCGTGGGAGCACAGTCTAACAGTGAGGCAGATGGAGACCCTTCCCGAGAGGACAACCCTGTCCTCCCAGCGTTGGTCTCTGCTGTGTCCTGGTCTTGAGTCTGTCAGCACCACACAGAGAGCCCCAGGGGCCCCCAAACCTGGGGATTGTTTCTGTGACACAGGAGCCCAGCTGGGCACCGGGTCTCCCCCAGGTTCTCAGATCCTCTGGGGAGGTGGGTGTCCTCCCAGCAGGAAGGTCACAGAGGTGACTCTGGGGTAAGAAAGGGGCAAGCTGGGTGAGGACTGGTGAGGGGACCCACCCTCTGTCTTCAGGTGTCACCAGTGTGTCTTCTGCTTCTAAGGACAGAGACCCAGGACTGGGTATCTCAGAAGGACCTGCAGTCCTGGGTGTGAAGGGAGAGGTGTCCTGCGTGTCCTGGCAATAAAGAGGGTGGTAGGTGGTCTGGTGGCTGTGGGCTCCCTGGTCCTCAAGGGGCAATTTCAGGGAGACACTCTCTCTCTGTGCCTGTTGGGTGATGCTGTCTATGTGCTCCCTGATCATGGGGACAGCCTCTGTCCTCTGCCTGGGGACTGCCTGTTGTCACTCAGCCTTGCCCATGGGTGGTGCCAGACAGGGAGTGGGGAGCAGCGCAAGGACCCCTGGGAGAGCAGGTGCTCCCAGGCCCCAAGAAGGAGCCAGTAGGACAGAGTGGGCATGTAGGAGGGGCCCAGAAGGGTCTGTGATGTGGAAATCAGGCTCTTTTTCTACCTCCTTAGCCAAAGCCAGGTTCTTGCAGTTTCCTGTGTTGCCTGTGTGTCTCAATGTTGCCCCCTGGAGGGCATTAAGGTGACCTGCGGCCAATGTCAGAGGCTGTACAAGGATGCCGACCCTGAACTCTGGGGAGACCTGGGCTCTCTGACCACTGTGCCAAGCGGCCAGTTAGCCTGGGTCCTGATCACTGGATTCCTGACTCAATCCCAGGACTGACTGAGCCCAGAGAGAGTTGTTCAGAGGGGTCCTGATCTGGTGTCAGGAGAACTGTATCCCAGGGGGATGTGTTGTCTCAGGAGCAGCTCTTTGTCCCTGAGGTTTCAAAGGACAAGCCAGGTGAGGGGTCTCTTGAGTGTTTTAGGAGAGGGCTCAAGCTTGGGGGTTGGTCCACAGATTGTCCTGTGTGTCCCCACCACAAGTCATCTGTGTGGCTGCCTGTCATCTGCTCTAGGCCTCCTCACAGGCCCAGGAGCTGGAGCAGCTCCACATGGAGACTTGGGCAGGGGATGGGGAGGCCCTGTGGGACCCTCAGACCATCTGAGATGGAAGCCACCCAGATCCTGGGTCCTTCAGTCCCATCATGCATGGGGAGTGCCCCTTGTTCCTCAGGACACCATGGGCTGCCTGGTGGGATGTCTGCTGAGGACCGCAGGCAGGGGTCCCCCTGAACCAGGGACCCTGTGGATGGGAAGTCACCCCTGATTCTTCTGTAGTCAGGAGGGACTCTCTGCCTCCCTGATGGTGACTCACTGGTGTGGAGAACCCAGAGTTTGCACCCTGTCAGGTCTCTGTGAGAAGAGCAAGGGCTTCATTGCCTGCCCCACCCCCTCCCCAGGAGAAGTCACTAGCAGGGTGGAGGTGGGGAGGGCTGTGGTTTTCTGGGAATGAAGGGGCTCCAGCCTCTCTTTGTTGGGAGGTCCATGTCCTTCATGATGACTCTACAAGGAGTACAGGGCTGTCCCTGTGACAGCCATGGGCAGTTGGTGGCTTCTTCCCATGCTGACACCAGTGCCTTCAGGTATAAGGAACATGTGCTGACCTCAGGTGTCACATGGGTTACAGGTGTCTGCTGTGCTGTTTCCTCATCCATTTAATGAGCATTTACTGAGCTTCTGTGACATGTCAGGCCCTGTGTTGGGCCCTGGGAACTGCACAGAGAAGAGGACACAGGGGGCCTTGTGCTCATGGAGATTACTCTGTTACAGAGATATTGTTGTCACTCAGTGAAATCATGGAAGAAAGGAGTCAATTATTGAGGGATGGTCTGTGAAGGGCAAGTGTGTGGTACGTCTGGAGCATGCACGTGAGTTTCAGCTGGTCTGGGGATCACAGAGAGCCCTTCTGAGCAAGGGGCCTTTTGGCTGTGACTGAAGTGTGAGTGAGCATTCACCCCTGGAAGGACATGGAGGGTGTGTTGGGGGCAGCTGCCTGCAGAGGGCTGGCCTTTTCTGAAGAGACACCTGACTATGCAGGAGCTGATGAAGTCCAGTGTGGGGAGAATGGAGAGCAAGGAGTGAGGACTGAGGGATGCTGGGGAGGGTCAAACCCTGCTGGCCTGTGGGTACTGCTGCCAGGGAAGAGGAGAGAGAGGCCTGGGTTCAGCAGCTCCCTGGGGTGGCTCCTGAGTGTTGAGTATCTCTGCTGCCCTCTGGTGGACAGAGCTGGGAGTGTAGCAGTCACCATATTTATTTGACAAGATTTCATAGACATTTCACAGGGGCCAAACATATCATATTAATGTTCCATGTCCGTGGGTCCCAGTCTCTCTTCCTACAAGTATGTTGGCCCTGCCTCTTCCCTCAGAGAGATGTCACCAGGCTCACAGTTCCAGGAATGTGTATTTATTTGTGGTTGTCTCCAGCAGGCTACCTGAGGGTGCCCCTGGGTGGAGCAGTGTGTGTGGCTGGAGTGCTGGGTGATGGGTCTGTGGGGAGAAGGAGGAGCAGGAACCAGGTGTGTCAGGAGGGGAAAGTCTGTGTCAGGGGAGCAGAGGGGACAGGATGGACAAGTCATTGTCCCTTCTCATTCCCAGTCCCTGTTGCCCAGGAGAGGGGCCCAGGTTCTGGGATACACAGCACCACACACTTCTCTGTGGTTCTGATTGGGTGAGTGGAGCTGCTTCCTGTGCAGTTAACTGTGACCTGGGCCTCACGTGTGCTCTGTGCCTATGGCTGAGCTGTTGGTAGTTGGGTCCACGTTGATCCAGGGCTGTGGTGGGAGCTCTCTGTCACGTGGGCTGTGAGGGTGAAGTCCTGGTCCTGAGCCTGCCTCACACCCACAGTCCCACCCAGGGCCCAGGCAGAACCCCTAATGCTGTGTGCCTCCCCTCCCCCTTCCTGGGGTTCCTGCCCTGCTCCTCCTTATTCCTGGGCTCTGTTGGGCAGCCTCAGCCAGTGCCTCCCCTGTTCCTGTTCCAGGCAGCTGTCCTTGTGGTTGCTGCCCCCTCACCATCTCTGTGCTGAGCAGCCTCTCACTTGCTCTGAGCCCTGGCCCCAGTGAGGGAGGAAGGGTGGAGCTGGGGCTGGCGCTCTCCAAGGTGCTGCACTGTCTGGAGAGCTGGAGGGCGAGGGGCCCTGGTGAGTCCTGGTGAGACACTGCTGTGTCTCTGGGTGGAAGCCTCTCTCATTTGCCAGAACTGAGCCCTCTAGGCCAGCAGAGAGCATGGTGTTTGGGGCACAGGGGTTGGGGCATGTGCTAGTGGATCGTTAGAGGTAAGAATGAGTGGTGTCTCTCCTATTCCTCCCCCTGATCCCTGAACCTGTGATACCTGGCTCTGGGAGACACGGTGTCACCTATTCAGACCATATATGTATTCCTGGAGTGCCTTCCCCAACCCTGCAAGGTACAGTCATCTAGCTGGTGCTGTCACTGAGTTTCCAAAAGGCCATTTCACTGTTCTGTCAAGTCAGATCTTTGAGGACTGTGAGACCAGTGGCCTCCATGGGCAGGAGCCCACTGCTGTGTTCCATGTGCCGTGAGGTGAGGCCCTCAGTCAGAGCAGTGCCCCGTGGGGAACTGAGGTGCAGGACAGGCTCTGTGGTCAGTGGACGGCAGCTCCTGAAGCATTCCATGTGCAGGGAAGGCAAGTCTGTACCCAGAGTAGGTGTCTCTTCCAATAAGAACAAAGCACTCCCACTCCACGACAGGAGTGGTCTAGGTTAATCAATTTGTTGAATCCAAAATTCAACAATTTTTTGAATTTGTTGAATCCCTCCATCCCCTTACCTCCCTCCCCCCTAGCTGTCATTCTGTTCTCCATCTATGAGTCTGTCTCTGTTTTGCCTGTTGGTTGAGTTTGTTCATTATATGCCACATATGAGTGAAAGCATATTTGTCTTTCTCTGAGTGGCTTTTTCACTTAGCATAATATTCTCCAGGCCCATCAATTCTGTCAAAAAGGGCAAATTTTATTCTTATTCACGACGAAGTAGTATTCCATTGTGTAAATCCCCCTAGGTGTTTTATCCACTCATCTACTGATGGATACTTGGGCTGCTTCCATTTTTGGCAATTGTAAAGAATACTGCAATGAACAAAGGGGTGTTTATGTTATTTTGAATTAGTGTTTTGGTTTCCTTCATATATATTTGCAGAAGTGGGATAGCTGGCTCAAAAAGCAGATCCATTTTTTAATTTTTGAGGTACATCCATACTGCTTTCCACAGTGGTTGCACCGTCTGCATTTCCACCAACAATGCATGAGGGTTCCCCTTTCTCAAAATCCTCACCAGCACTTGCTGTTTGTTTATTTCTTGATGATAGCCATTCTGACAGCTGTGAGGTGATATCACATTGTGGTTTTAACTTGTGTTTCTCTGATGATTAGTGATGTTGTACATCTTTTCATATGTCTATTGGCTATCCGTATGTCCTCTTTGGAGAAGTGTCTATTCAGGTCTTTTGTCCACTTTTTAATTGGGTTATTTTTCTGGTGTTGAGTTTTGTCATTTCTACAAATTTTGGACATTAACCCCTTATCAGATGGATTGGCAAATATGTTCTCCCATTCTGTGGGCTGTCTTTTTATTTTGTTGATAATTTTTTTTTGCTGTGCAAAATCTTTTTAGTTTGATGTAGCCCCATTTGTTTATTTTTTCTTTTGTTTCCCTTGCTTGGGGATACATATATCTGATAAAAATTTCTAAGAGCAATGTCTGAGATTTTGCTGCTTTTATTTTTTTCTAGGATTTTCATAGTTTTGGGTCTAACATTTCAGTCTTTGATCCATTTAGAATTCATTCTTGTGTGTGGTGTAATAAGGTGGTCTAGTTTTATGTTTCTGCATGTATCTGTCCAATTTTTTCCAACACTATTCATTGAATAAACTATCTTTAGCCCATTGTATGTGCCTGCTTCCTCTGTTGAATATTAACTGACTATAAAGGTGTGGGTTTATTTCTGGTCTCTATTCTGTTCCACTGATCTATGTCTCTGTTTTTATGACAGTACTATGCTGTTTTGATTACTATGGTCTTATAGTATAGGTAGCATGATTCCTCCAACTTTGTTATTCTTTTTCAGAATTGCTATTGCTATGTGAGGCCTTTTGTGGTTCCATATAAATTTTTGAAATATTTGTTTTAGTTCTGTGAAATACATCATTGGAATCTTGATAGGAATTGCATTGAATCTATAGATTGCTTTCGGTAGTATGGACATTTTAATGATGTTAATTTTTCCTATCCATGAACATGATATGTGCTTCCACTTACCTATCCATTCTATTTCCTTCTTTAATGTCTTAAAATTTTCCATGTACAGGTCTTTTACATCCTTGGTTAGATTTAGTCCTAGGTATTTCATTCTTTTTATAATGATTGTGTATGGGATTGTTTTCTTAACTTCCCTATCTATTTGTTACTGGCATATAAAATGCAAATGATTTCTGGATATTAATTTTGTATCCTGCTACTCTGCTTAATTCATCGATCAGTTCTGGTAGTCTCTTGGTGGACTCTATGGGGTACTATAGTCTCTTTGGGGTACTCTATGTACAGTATCATGTCATCTGCAAATAAAGATAGTTTTTACTTCTTCCTTTCCAATTTGGATGCCTTTTATTTCTTCTTCTTGTCTGATCGCTGAGGCTAGGACTTCTATCACTATGTTGAATACGAGTGGTGAAAGTGCATATCCCTGTCTTGTTCCCAATCTTAAGGGGAATGCTTGTAGTTTTTGCTCATTTAGTATGATGCTGGCAGTGGGTTTGTCATATATGGCCTTTATTATGTTTAGGTATGTTCCCTCTAACCCCACTTTGCTGAGAGTACTAATCATAAATGTGTCATAGATTTTATCAAATGTTCTTTCTGCATATATTGATAAGGTCATGTGATATTTTATTCTTCATTTTGTTTATGTGGTGAGTCATATTTATTGATTTGCAAATGTTGCACCAAACTTGCATTCCTGGAATAAATACCAGCTGGTCATGGTGCATGATCTTTTTGATGTATTGCTGTATTTGGTTTGCTAATATTTTGTTGAGGATTTTAGAGTCTAAGTTCATCAGGGGTGTTGGCCTATAATTTTATTTGTTGTTTCTTATCTGATTTTGGAATTAGGATAATGTTGGCTTGGTAAAATGAGTTTGGGAGTCTTCCCTCCTTTTGAATTTCATGGAATAGTTTGAGAAGGATAGGTTAGTTCTCAGAATGTTTGGTTAAACTCACATGCAAAGCCAACTGGCACAGGGCTTTTATTTGTTGGGAGTATTTTGATTACTGCTTCAATTTCACTGGGTGTAATCTGTCTATTCAGATTCTCTGATTGTTTTTGATTTAGTTTTGGAAGGCTGTATGTTTTTAGGAATTTATCCATTTCATCCAGGTTGTCCAGTTTGTTGGCACACAGTTGTTCATAATACTTTCTTACAGTCTCCCTTGTACCTCTTTGGTGTGAGTTGTTATTTCTCCTTTTTCATTTCTAATTTTATTTATTTGGAATCTTCCTCTTTTTTTCTTAATGAGTCTAGTTAAGGGTTTGGCAATGTTGTTTTTCTTTACAAAGAACCATCTCTTGAATTCATTATCTTTTGTATCATTTTTTAAGATTCTACTTAATTTGTTTCTGCTCTGATTTTTATTTTCTTCTTTCTAATCACTTTGGACTTTGCTGTTCTTTTTCAAGTTGTTTTAAGTGTGAAGTTAGAGTGTTTATTTGAGCTTTTTCTTGTTTTCTGAGATAGACCTGTAATGCTATGAATTTTTCACTTAGGATTGCTTTCCCATGTCCCACAGATTTTGGATTGGTTCATCCTCATTTTCATTTGTTTCAAGCTACCTTTTGACTTCTTTCTTGATCTCATTGTTGACCCATTCATTGTTTAATAACATGATATTTAGCTTTCATGTCTTTGTGTGTTTTTTTCAGTGTTCTTCTTGTGATTGATTTCTAGTTTCATAGCATTGTGGTCAGAAAAGATGCTTGATATGATTTAAATCTTCTCAAATTTATTGAGATTTGTTTTGTGTCCTAGCATGTGGTCAATCTTACAAAACGTTCCATGTGCACTTGATAAGTATAGGTTGAAATGCTCTGAAGATATCAATTAAATCTATTTGATCTAGTGTGTCATTTAAGGCCAATGTATCCTTGTTGATTTTCTGTCTGGAAGATTTTTCCATTGAAGTCAATGGGTTGTTGAAATCCCTAACTATGACTCTTTCTGTCAATCTTTCCCTTTATGTCCATCAAAATTTGCTTCAGACTTTCAGCCAAGATGGAGGAGTAGGTAGACATACTGTGTCTCCTCACACAACCAAAGAAGGACAACAACAAATTTAAAAACAAAAAGCAACCAGAACTTACAGAAAATCAAACTGTATGGAAGTTAGACAACCAAGGAGTTAAAGAAGAAATATTCATCCAGACTGGTAGTAGGGGTGGAGATGGGTGGCTAGGGTAAAGAGGACCCATGGCAAGTCATCAGCTGGAGGACTGAGTGAGGTGGTGGTTTGCAGACTGGGCAGTCCTACATATGCATGCATATAAACCGAGAGGAACAATTGGGGAGCGAGACAGACCATGAAACCTAGGATTCCAGTGAGGGTAAATAAAGCTTCAAAGTCTCTAATGGAAAACACCTGTGGGGTTGAGGCAGCAGCAGAAGAAACTCCCAACTTAACAGGGGAGTTCATTGGAGAGACCCGCTGGGTCCTAGAATGTACACAAACTCACTCACTTGGGAATCAGCACCAGAAGAGCCTAATTTAATTGTGGGTAGTGGGGGAAGTGACTGAAAACTATCAGAGAGCAGAGCAAGTGGCACTGTTCCCTCTCTGACCCCTCCCTTAAATATAGCATCTCAATGCAGCAATGTGGGTTACCCTGCCCTGGTAAGTACCAAGGGCTCCACCCACTACTATGTAGCAGCCCTGCGGAGACAATACAAAATGGCACAAATGAAAGAGCAGATCAAAGCTCCATAAAAAATACAACTAAGTGATGAAGAGATAGCCAACCTATTAGATGCAGAGTTCAAAACACTGGTATTGAGGATGTTCCCAGAATTGGTTGAATATGGTCACAAATTAGAGGAAAATATGAAGACTATGAACAGTAAAATAAAGAAATATATACAGGGAACCAACAGTGACAGGAAGGAAACCAGGATTTAAATGAACAGTTTGGAGCAGAAGGAAGAAAGAAACATTAGACCAGAACAGAATGAAGAAACAAGAACTAAGAAAACTGAGGAGAGGCTTAGGAACCTCCAGGACATCTTTAAACATTCCAACATTCGAATCATAGGGGTGTCAGAAGGGGAGGAGGAAGACCAAGAAATTGAAAACTGACTTGAACAAATAATAAAGGAGAACTTCCCCAATCTGGCAAAGGAAATAGACTTCCAGGAAGTCCAGGAAGCTCAGAGAGTCCCAAAGAAGTTGGACCCAAGGAGGAACAAACCAAGGCACATCCTAATTACATTAGCCAAGACAAAAAAAAAACACCCCAGAATAAAATCTTAAAAGCAGCAAGAGATAAGGGGACAGTCACCTACAAAGGAGTTCCCATCAGACTGTCAGCTGATTTCTCAAAAGAGACCTTGCAGGCAAGAAGGGGCTGGAAAGAAGTATTCCAAGTCATGAAAGGCAAGGACCTACATCCAAGATTACTCTATCTAGCAAAGCTAGATAATTTCAAATGAAAGGGCAGATAAAGTGCTTCTCAGATAAGGCCAAGTTCAAGGAATTCATCATCACCCAACCCTTACTATATATGAAATGTTAAAGGGACTATCTATGAAAAAGAAGATGATAAAAATATAAACAGTAAAACGACAACAAACTCACAGCTATGAACAACCAAAACCATAAATAAACTAAGCAAACAATTAGAACAGGAACAGAACACAGAAATGGAGATCACATGGATGGTTACTGACAGGGAAGGGGAGGCAGTGAAAGTGGGGAAAGGTACAGGGAATAAGAAGCATAAATGGTAGGTTGAAAATAGGCAGATGGAGGTTAAGAATACTACAGGAAATGTAGAAGCCAAAGAAATTTTATGTAGGACCCATGGACATGAACTAAAGGGGGGGTGTGGGTGGAAAGGGGTGTGCAGGGCAGAGGGGACTAAAGGGAGGAAAATGGGAGAACTATAATAGCATAGTCAATAAAACATTTTAACAATATTCTAAAGAAAATACTAGCAAATTGAACACAACAATACTTAAAAAATAATATTCCATGATCAAGTGAGCTTCATGCCAGGGGCACAAGGATGATTCAATGTATACAAATCGATCAATGTGATAAACCAAATCAACAAAAGACAGGATAAAAAATTATATGATCTTATCAACAGATGCACAAAAGGCATTTGAGAAGATAGAACATACATTTAGAATTAAAACATTCGATAAAATAAGTACAGAAGAAAAGAAGGTTTGGTTTAGATGTCAAACCCTCAGACAATATCATACTCAATAGCAAAAAACCGAAAGCTTTTCCTCTAAAATCAGGAGTGGGGCAAGGATGCCCACTCTCACCGCTCTTCAACATAGTTCTGGAAGTCCTGGCCAGAGCAAAAGGCAAGATAAAGAAATAAAAGGCATCCAGATTGGGAAGGAAGTAGTAAAACTGTCACTTTTTGCAGACAACATGGTCCTGTGCATAGAGAACACTGAAGACTTCACCAAAAAACTATTAGAAACAATAAACAAAGTTGCAGGATACAAATCAATGTACAAAAATCCACTGCTTTCCTGTGTACTAGCAATGAAACTTCTGAAAAAGAAATTAGAAAAAAACAAACAATTGCTTTTGCAATTGTAACCAAAAGAATACAATACCTGGGGATAATCTTACCAAAGGGTGGGAAAGACCTATAGGCTGAAAACAACAAAGCACTATTAAAACAGACTGAGAAAGATAAAATGAAATGGGAAGATATTCCGTGTTCATGGATGGGAATAATCAATGCAGTTAAAATGGCCACATTACCTGAAGCAACATACAGATTTAAGCAATGTCATTTTTTAAAGAAACAGAACAAAAAAAGCCATCAGATTTATATGAAACCACAAAAGACCCCAAATAACCAAAGCAATTCTGAGAAAAAAAAAAAAAGCCAGAGGCATCACACTACCTGACTTCCAATTACACTACAGAACTACGGTAATTAGAACAGCATGGTGTTGGCACAAAAACAGACACACACATCAATAAAACAGAATTGAGAGCCCAGAAATAAAACCACATGTACATGGCCAGATGATTTTTGACAAAGGAGCCAAAAAATACACACTGGAGAGAAGACAGCCTCTTCAATAGATGGTGCTGAGAAAATTAGAAACCCACATGCAAAATAATGAAATGGTTACAGTTTGTCCCAATGTATAAAAATTAATTCAAAGTGGGTCAAAGACCTAAGTGTAAGATCTGAGACAATAAATTCCATAGAGGAGAACATAGGTACTAAATGTAGGGACCTTGGTTGGGGAGGACATTTTATGAATTTAACCCCAAATGCAAGGGAAGTAAAGGCAAAAATAGAAGGGACTATGTGAGACTGAAAACCTTCTGCACAGTGAAAGAGATTGACAGCAAAACAAAGAGGAAATCCACCAAACGGGAGAGAGTATTAGCAAGCAACGACTCTGGTGGAGGTTTAATGTTCAAAATATAAAAAGAACTCATTAAACTCAACACCAAACAGATAAATAATCCCATTGAAAACCAGGCAGAGGAACATTTTTTAAAATTTATTTTTTTTTATTGATTATGCTGTTACAGTTGTTCTGTTCCCCCCCTTCATTCCCCTCCACCCTGCGCCCCTGTCCCCACCATTACCCTCCCTTTAGTTTATGACCATGTGTCTCAAGTTCTTTAGATTCTGTATTTCCCATACTATTCTTGCCCCCCATCTATTTTCTATCTACTGTCTATGCTACTTATTTTCTGTACCTTCTCCCCCCTTCTCCTACTCCCACTCCCCTGTTGCTAACCCTCCTTGAGATCTTCATTTCTATGTTTCCACTCCTGATCTAGCTGTCCTTTTAGTTTGCTTTTGTTTTAGGTGTGGTTGTTAATAACTGTGAGTTTGCTGTCCTTTCACTGTTCATGTTTTTTTAACTTCTTTTTCTTAGATAAGTCCCTTTAACATTTCATATAATAAGGGCTTGGTGATGGTGAACTCCTTGAATTTGATCTTATCTGAGAAGCACTGTATCTGTCCTTCCATTCTAAATGAAAGTTTTGCTGAATAGAGCAATCTTGGTTGTAGGTCTTTGGATTTCATGACTTGGAATACCTCTTTCCAGCCCCTTCTTGCCTGGAAGGTCTCTTTTGAGAAATCTGCTGACAGTCTGATGGGAACTCCTTTGTAGGTGACTGTCCCCTTAGCTCTTGCTGCTTCTAGGATTCTCTCCTTGATTTTAATCTTGGCTAATGTAATTATGATGTGCCTTGGTGTGTTTCTTCTTGGGTCCAACTTCTTTGGGACTCTCTGAGCTTCCTGGATTTCCTGGAAGTCTATTTCCTTTGCCAGATTGGGGAAATTCTCCTTTATTATTTGTTCAAATAAGTTTTCCACTGGTGGCTATGCCTTCCCCCCTTCTGGTACCCCTATAATTCGGATGTTGGAGCATTTAAAGATGTCCTGGAGGTTCCTAAGACTCTCCTCATTTTTTTGAATTCTTGTTTCTTGACTCTTTTCTGTTTGGCCATTATTTGCTTTCTTCTGGTCCACTCCATTGATTTGAGTCCCAGTTTTCTTTTCATTGCTATTGGTGTCCTGTGCAATTCCATTCATTTCAATTAGTTTCACCTTCATATGTTTGTCTAATTTGTGGCTATAATCAACCAGTTCTGTGAGGATCCTGATGACCAGCCTTTTAAACTGTGCATCTGAGAGTTTTGCTATTTCTTCATCGCTTAGATTTATAGGCTCTGGGGCTTTGAGATCTTCTTGAGCCATTTTTGGTCTGTTCGCTCCGTTAAGTATGAGGAGTGGAGCCTTAGACTCCCAGGTCGCTGGGTTGTGACGCTATGTGTGGAGGCAGGGTCAGAGCGGGGAAATGGCGGTCCCCTCTGCTGTTTTCTGCTGCTGGGTGAGGAGCAGAGCCTCAGGTTGTTCACCGGGGCAGGGCCACTTAGGTCGCTGGATTATGACGCTGTATATGGAGGTGGGGTTAGAGCGGGGAAATGGCGGCACCCTCCCTGCTGTTTGCCCCGGGACCCGCTGGGTCCTGGTTCAATCGCCCACTCCCTCGCTTGTCTATCCACACACGAATGCATGACCACAGTCAACCCGCAGCCCTGCTCCCTTGCTGTTTCCCCGTGATTGCTTGCTGAGTTGCCCACCAGGTCCAACCCTGCACCTGGATTCCGCATGCCTGAGTCCATCTGACCAAGTTTTCCTGTGCTACCCTGCTCTGCCGGCTGCTGGTTTCGCCCCTCTTACCGGTCAGGCTGAAGAATTTGTTGTTATCAGACTTCCGAAAAGTTCAATTTTCTGTGTTCTGGCTGTGTTTTCTGTTGCTAATATTTAGTTGTCTCTAAACTTGGTTGTGTGAGAAAGCATGGCGTCTCCACCTATGCTCCCATCTTGGCGGAAGTCCCAGAGGAACATTTACACAATGGAATACTACTTGGCCAAAATAAAAGAAGAAAATTTTACTTTTGCTACAGTATGGGTGGACCTTGGAGAACATTATGCTAAGTTTAGTAAGCCAGTCAGAGAAAGACAAATACCATATGATTTCATTCATCTGTGGGATCTAACTAACAAACTGAACAAACAAAGAAATTAGAGGCAGACTCACTGATAGAGAGCAGGATGACAGCTAAGCAGAGGGATGTTAGGGGTGCAGGGAATGAGCAAAAGGAAAAAGGACTCATGGACTTACACTTAAAAGGTAAATATTTATACAATGAAACCGGAAGGTGAAATAAATAAAACTCAAATTAATGGCTCTGCAGAGCTGTTTGGAAGTGAGGCAGGTGCTCTCATGTAAACCCTCTCTGACTTCCACATTCTCACGTGCATCCATGTCCTGCTGAGTCTGAGGTTGGGGGAACTCTTTCTCCCCTACATGTCCTCATGAAGGAATATTAGAACATAAGGAAGGAAGTGCTGGCCAAGTTGTCGAATGCCAGGTAGCAAATCCCTCCTGTAATGAAGGTAGGTTCACTTGGTCTCTCCTAAACAGAAGAGAATGTCCAAGTAATTAAAATGCTTAAAAAGCCACCAAAAATACAAACTAACCAAAGCATTGGGCTCCTCTGAGTGCTCTTGGAGTGTGGGTTGACAAAGAATGAAGTGTCAGGATTCAGAAACAGTCCTGGGTGACAGCCCAACGATGTCTCTTCACAATCTGGGGAGACAGTGCTCTTCCATGCTGACAGGAGGTGGGCAGGAAGC